TTCTTTGAACTGTTCTTTTTCCACAGTAGACTGATTGTACACCAAACATCATTATTGACTTGAGAAAAAAAAAAAAACACCATTTGGGCGCACAAGTTTGAATTTATGTATGCAGAAGTATACATGCAGGCTCACCCCACAATTTAGCAAGTTGCACCTTGATAACACACTTTTGTTAGCCATAAACATTTTTGGCATAATTCTAGGTGGACATTTGACCAGTCTTATGGGCAGAATTTGCAAAGGTCACTTAAATTGCTTGATTTCCTGGCACTTACGTTTAAGTGTAGTCCACAGATTTTCAGTAGGGTTGAAGTGGGGCTTTGGGAAGGCCATTGAAGCAGCTTTATGTTTATCCATGCCAAAACCAGTTGTTGAAACACCAAATGTGTCCAGGTTTCAACCACTTAGCCACTGACTTTAGGTGAAGTGAGGTGATTTGGACGTGATCCTTGTGTACTGAAGACTTTCAACTATAACTCAAAATAAATTAAAAATATTAAATAAATTTATTTTATTTAATATTTAGATTATTTGAATAATTGTAGATTCATTGTTTCGGACGATACTGTTAATTGTTTACCGATACTCATCTGGTGAGCAAAACAATAGCAATTCCCTGTTGGTAACTTTGTACTAACGTCTGATTGGACAGAAAGTTGTTACTACGCGTTGACGTTTGTCTACGTATGCTACGCGACGAAACTGTTTTTCTTTATTGAGCAAACGTCTGCTCATTGTGTTTTGTCGTCGGGGAGAGAGGAAAGAGCAGGCAGAGGGACCATTGAACACTAGGGCTTTACTTTTTTTTTTTAACTATTTCATTAACAGTTTAGCATTATTGGGGCAGCATAATGACCGATAAAATGGATATGTCTCTAGACGACATTATCAAGCAGAACAGGCAGCAGAGAGGTGGAGGCCGGGGCGGCAGAGGTCGAGGCCGCGGAGGCGCAGGCGGCGGCGGCCGTGGAGGAGGAGGCCCCGGGCGTCTCGGAGTCAGCGGTGGAGGATTTGGAGGCCGAGGCGGCGGATCCGGCCCGATGAGGAATCGACAGATCCCGAAACGCGCTAGAGGCAGACCAACGCCTTACAGCAGGGTATGAGAAAGTTAAAGGAAAAGCCTTCGACAAAGCTGAAAATGCCTGGTTAACGTCGTTCTGTAGCTAATCCCCTAGCCAGCTTGCTAGTCAAGCGAATAAAATGATTGCTAGCCGCCGAGTTTTCCCTTCGGAGGAGAGCTCTGTAATTGGCGGCTAAGCATTAATGGAAGTTGTATGCATATTGTGTCCCTTCTCCCACAATCCGTATGTGTTACATCATTTTTCAAGAGGAGCCCTTTTTGGAGAGAGCAGTTGTGTTAGCCGTGTTGGCTAACTAGCTAAAGTTGGATCGTAAAGGCCGAAGCGGCGCCATTTTGAATCAAGCACCTTAATTTAGAGCTAGTCGTCCAAGGTCCATATCGGTGCTTTTCCACCTCTTGTGTCAAATTGATGGTGAAAGGAAATCGCATCAACGACAAAGTCTACCCGCACGCTACTATCGTGGGAGCAAAATCCTTCCTTTTTTTTTTGGTCAAGTCGGAGGCGCAGCGACCAGACGGCCTTTTGTTCGGGAGTGGCTGACGCTCTTCTCAGCAAGGCCCATTTTGGTGGCTATTCAACCGGTGTGGCTGTTGCTTTTTGGATGGATCAGTGGACTTTAAACCTCCTCTCTGATAGTTTTCATGTTAAGGCAAATCATCACTCCTTAAGTGTGAATGAATATCTAAACAAAGCCCCAGTCAAAATGGCGTGTCTCAAAATGGACGCTCAGATAATCCACGCTCATTGATGGGGGGATAGCTGGGCCCCCTTTCAGTTTGTTTACATCCCCTTCCCCACTCATCCTATGGACATTTCCCCCTTCATGAAAGCCCTTTTCGTGGCTTGGTAAAGAACTTTTGGGCGGGCCTGGAAGACATGGTGCAACGCTGGAGGCAACGCTGCTTCAGACGGCGACCCCCTGTGTCCCCGAGGATCATGTCTGGAGGGCCTCTGGTGGAGGTGCAGCTGGCAAGAAAACAGTGGGCAATTTTTGTAGCTAGCATGGGAGGTTGTTTGGGTTTAAACATAGATTATGGGTGGGAGTGGGCTATAATAAAATCAGTTAGCTCCATTTGAACTTGGTCATTGAAAAGACATGTACTTAAAAAAGAAAAGAAGAAAATGTATCCAAAGTGTATGCATGTACAGGTTGTATACAAGACATCCCCTTGCCTTTCAATTTTTATATATATATTAAGTTGTCTTGTGTATGTCCTTATGTGTCCGAAGTGATTCACTTGCTTATAGTGATGGGGTGGGCAGGGAATAGTGGGGATCCTCTTGGGGGACCTGAGCACCCTGGCCATGTTGGAAGTGGAGCCCCTGCTTGCCCCAACACCCAGCCGTGTGGACTCTGTGAATAGCAGAGGCAAGGGGATCCTGAAGTCAGCAGGTGCGTTCTCTTTCGTCTGTTGCAGCCTAAACAGCTTCCAGATAAGTGGCAGCACGACATGTTCGACAACGGCTTCAGCGGCTTCAATGGTGCTGCTGGAGGTGGAGGAGGAGCTGGCGTGGAAACTGGAGGGAAGCTCCTCGTGTCCAATCTCGACTTTGGGGTCTCAGATGCAGATATTCAGGTATTCTAAGTTGTTTGTGATTCTTGGCCTGGGTTGGTGTGTTTAACAGTCTGGATCAAGAGGGACCAATTGTTTTGGGCGTGTGTTTTTTAGGAACTTTTTGCTGAGTTTGGAACTCTGAAAAAGGCCGCAGTTCATTACGACCGATCAGGAAGAAGCCTGGGAACTGCAGATGTCCACTTTGAAAGGAGGGCAGATGCGCTCAAGGCCATGAAGCAATACAATGGCATCCCACTGGATGGTAAGTCTTACGTTCTTTGACCTGCCAGTATAAACAGTTTCTTAAAGTTCGCTGCTTGTGTAAACAATTTGAGGTTCATGGTGTTTGTGTTTTTAGGGCGCCCTATGAACATTCAGCTCGTCACATCACAGATCGACACACAGAGACGGCCAATGCAGGGGTACGTTAATATTTCTTTATGTTTGGGAAATGCAAATGCATTAAATGACTCAATGTGTAAAGGCTCCTTTATCTTCAGTCTGAACAGAGGCGGTGGAGGAGGCATGATGAACAGAAGTCGTGGCGGTGGCGGCTTTGGAGGCATGCAGAGAGGCCGTGGAGGGCGTGGTGCAGGTGGCCCTAGAGGACGAGGACGAGGCGGCCGTGGCGGTAGTAGCAAGCAGCAGCTGTCAGCAGAGGAGCTCGATGCCCAGTTAGATGCCTACAATGCCAGGGTATGTCTACCTGAAACTTTTAAATATAATTTCTTCTGAGTAACGGATTGTCCATTTTCTCAGACGTCTAATTAACTCTTGGTTTGCTTTCTCAGATGGACACCAGCTAAGAACGTAAAAACAAGCTCCTGAGGGTCGTCGTCCCTTCCTGTCTGCACAGAAGGGTGGCTGTTACAAATGTGCAGATTATTTTACACTTGGTTGTCTTCTAATGTGATTGAAAATATTGCCCCACCTCTTGTTTTAAATGCTCCAAAGTGTTTTTTACCAGTTTTGTTTGTGATTTTTTTTTTTTTTTTTTTTTTATTGTTATTTTCTTCTTCTGGTTGAAAAAAAAAATGGTTTCAAATGTAGGTTATGAAACTGGGTTTCCCCAGTTTGTTCTTCTACCCTGTAGTTAAATACTTGTAATAAAAACCTGCAGTGCATATTAACCACATTAAATGTCCCTTTGTTTGTTTGGGTTTTGTTTTTTGTGTTTTTTTTTCTGGTCATATGTCTACTTGTGCACTATAGTTAACTATAAAATGTATGATTTCACCTGTAGCGTATCAGGATTAAAGACCTGTATTTGCTGACGTTTCTGTATTTTGGAATAAACATTTGCATTGTTTTGGAAACTTGCAACAACTGTAAAATACAGATTTGCCATTTAAATGGAAAAATAAAAGGAGTGGCCTAGAACTTGTAATTGTAATGCACGCATTAGTTGTAGGCCTGGCCCAACGTGCTCTATTTGCTGCAGGAAATGATACTCTTGAAGTACAGCCACTAGATGGCACCCTGCTCTGCTATATACCTTTTTTTTTTTTTTAAGTTTTCAGTATGTGCTCGTCACCACGCCTTTTGCAAGCACACAGGCGTGTATTAAATCTCAAGTCAGTAAAGATAAACTTTCGAGGCTTATGTGCTACAGATGTGATCAAGTGACTAAAAACCAAAGAGGGCGTGAAGTGAACGTAGTGTAAAAACAGCCACAAAAGGTAACTACATCTGCATGCCCACGCGTGTCGAAGCGCATATTTCCCGGAAGCGTTGCGCGGCAAAAAGTGTGAAACGTTCAGAAGAACAGTTTCCGGTTGGCTTTCAAGGTAATACGTGGAAATCATCTGATCTTATCTGCACGACTTTTATATAAACTTTTTATCCTGTTCTATTATTATGTTATTATTATTGTTGTTCTCATATAGCAGCGTAGTACGATTTATAGGTAAAAGTGACAATTTGATGCTAGCTTCACACTTCAGTGTGAAGTATAGGTTATGCATTCAGAAAACATAAATAGTCTACCCATAATACAAATAAGAGCGTTACATATATAGTTTATGAGTTACTGATGGACTGAAATGTAGTTTTGCAGTTTATTTGAACTCATATAAAAATAAACAATAGCAATTCATACACGATTAATTAAAATGCACTGTCACACAAGTATAAAGATACTAAAACTAGAATTCCCCACTCAATAAAAATACTATTCTAAATTGTACTTAACATTAAGTTATTTGAACCACATACAAAGAAAATTCATAGTCGAGCTTGAAAAATACTTTGTTGTGGATATTTTCTATTTTCAAAATGTATTGTATCTATACAGCGTGCAGCTGGGGCTACGTTTTTAAAAATGTCGTTTCTTTGTCGCCCTTTATTTTGAAAGTGGCATACCGGACATTGTGCCCGTCAGCGGCACCGGGCTCAGATTTTCCTCTGCCGCTTCACTGCACTCCCATTCACAGGAGACGTTTCCAGCCAACCACAAGTATAACGGTAAGAGTAGATAAAACACCCACTTAAGTATTCTTATAATGTATTTTATTCTGTTAAATGTGCGTTAATATACGTCCTTAAGCTGCTCCGGCAAATTTCTATCGATTACTTGCTAAGGAAAAGAAAAACGGCTAACTTACCGCTTGAACCTGAATTCTAGAAAAAAATGTTTACCAAATAATCGCTTACTGTAGTTAAGGAACTACTTTTTTAATAGCATGTCATACTCCTGTAGTTGCACTAATGTCGTTTTCTTAAAATTACAGCGAAGTCGCTGAAAAGTTGTCCGAAGCCGTCGGTTAGTTGTGAATTTCCGGGTGTTGAACCCGATCTGAGCTGAGAGGGTTGGGGCTATTAAGTAACGAAATGTCACTCGTTGCTGTTAAAAGCACACACAGAAAGTGATTGCACTGACCAGTAAAGTAGGGGATTGGTTTAAATTAGTCGTTTAGTCTGCTTTAACACATTCTTCATGATCATGTCCTTTATACGAGGAACATTTTTCAGCCACTTCCTGGAACTCATCTGTCTTTTAATTTGAATTAGCTTACACTTGAAGCAGCCACCATTTTGGCTTTTTTCGTTTTGTTTTTTTTTACTTGCAAACAATTAATCAGAGCACGTCGATCAAATCTGCCAAGATCGAGTGATTATCACCTCTTGAGCACTTTGGGTGTGATAGTTAAGCTGTGTGCTTTTGGCTGAATGGCTGGCAAGTGATTTCTCAGAGTGATCACACAAACCGTGAAGCCTCCCTTTCCTTCCTGTATATGTGTGTGTATGATAAGTAGAGGATTTTTTTTGGCCCCTTCTTTTCTTATAGAAGGTCGAGAACTTTGTTTAATCAACTTCTGCCGTGAATTGTTCACTTGCTTCACCTCATATTTAAAATGTTGCGAGCTTCCAGTGGCGGGCGGATGTGTCTTGCAGCAGTTTATTTCCTCTGGTGTGAGGCTAGAGGCCTACAGAGGTTTAGAAAAGAAAGGAGAAAGACCCATTTAGGATCTGTACTTAACATTTTTGGTGTGCTTTCCTGACACTGCTATAATCTTCAAACATGTTCCAGCAACTCACAGTGAAGAGTGCAAGGGTCAAAACCACAGGCCTGAACTGCAAAAATGGCTGGAGCATATTTCTATGAACTGATAAAGTAAAGTTGATGATGCATTTGCCCTTCTCAGTTTACATAACAAATGACATTTTAACCAAATCGTTGTTTTTCTCCATGCGCCACACTTTTCTAGTGGACTTTCTTAGCCAGTCATAACGAATCGTGTTAATGGCCTCTCCTATTTTAGCTCGGTCTCACAGGAATTGATGCAGTGAGTTTGTATTAGTCTTTTCCTCTCTCAGAGTGTGAGAGCAAGAGACTAGGCCTTTCTTTGCATCCACAACTTGTAAATTCAAATCTTCAGGGGAGCACCTTTGGGAGTACGCTCATACCATCAACCATGTGTATCAAGTCAAGGCTGTCCTCAAAGAAAACCATTTCAGAGCTGCAATCCTTTATCGGGTAGTCTGCACCCCGTTGCCCATCCAGGCTGGGGCACATTACTGAAAACGCCCATGGAGCAGCAGCGTAAAGCCCTGACCTTTCAGCGTGGCTGGCACCTTGGCTCTCCCATTCACGCTTAGCTTCCTGCTGCTGTTCGAAGGGATTTCTCACCGGCTATTTTTAAAGCTTCCTATTTATCCTGGGCCTTCTTGGGGATGAGGACATGTTTTGCTTTTCTGTTCTCTCACAGCCACTCCTGTTCTTTCTGCTGCTCATTGACCATGGATTTAAACCATTTCTGTGACATTTTAGAGACTTTTGTTCATTAGTAGATGTTAAACCAATTAACCAGTGTCCCTGCATACTCCTCCACTCCTTATCTCATTGCATTTCTGTTTTTATCCTACCCACTTGTCTATATTTGTTAGGGTTGGGTTCCTCTGCATTGCATCAGGTCTGCAACACTTCCTCAAAGATTTGGCATGTTAGCACCTCCCCTACAACTTGATTGAACCTAGCATGTTTTTTTTCTCTTTTTTAGAGGCTTCAGAAGCAGGCCTTCTAGCATTTCTATCATTAAAAAATGCTTAGCTTGGATTAAGTTAGGCCCCCAGGTTAGCTTGAAGAAGATGAGTTGTGCAGTGCTGTGGTTAGCGCATTAAAGGATATGAATCATCAAGCCCGCCTGAAAAAGGAAGCTTGCAGTAATTTCTTGACAGACAAAATGGTTCAGTTGCTGCCTGACGTGCAAGGCTTCCTTATTTGAAGACATGTGCTGCGGCCTTAATCAGTTTCATCAAACATGGGGGCGCTGCATTACTCAGATGCACAGCAGAAAGGTATTTTCATGTGGTGTGTGTGGTGCAGGTCTTAATTCATGCCACCAAAGCGCTGCTCTTTGCAGTCATTGTGCTAAGTGCACAATTTTCTACTGAGATAAAAAAAAAAAAGAAAGCTTAAAATGACAGCAAGATAACAGTGGAATGATATAATAGTTACATTATCTGATACATGTGAAATATTCTCGATCTGTATGCATGTGAAAAAATAAATGTTGAACTACAGAGACAGTGGATACAGGATGTGGTCTTACAGCAGCACCCCTTTCCATTACAGTCATTGCAGGGTAGTTAATTTCGAATCAAATCACAATCTGCTGATTTGATGATTAGGATTTTTGTGGCGTACCCAAATCAGAGAAGTCGTCGCTAAAGCAAAGTGCAACTGTAGAGAGATCGTGTAGGTAAAATGGAACAACTCCAAAGGTCTTATGCACACTGAGAGCTGCATGAAAGAGCAAGAACACAGAGAGCTGAGAGGATCAAAGCATCACTTTCTACTTTCTAGAATAGAGTTAAGGCCAAGAGCTAAATGTCACTTCACAAAGGTCTAGTAAAGCGCCATTCATGTCCTGTTCTTGTCTCTGAGGTAAACGTGTGCTTTATTCCATGAAACAAATTCAGACTGTAAGTTATCAGTGATAATACTTCCACTTCTTGATTAATCAGTAAAACAGGCTTCCCATATTGGTTTACTTTGTCCTGCACCTGGCTGCTGTATGTGCCTAATCAGTGGAAAACCTGGCTAATAAAAAGTATTCTTAACAAATATGAGTTGTTGCTGAACCTGGGTGCATTCAGGGTTTTCCAGTTTGCAGCTCTGTTTTGCCTTTACTCCAGCCTGTGATGTGCTGTTTGTTGTCCCCCCCCTCCGCTCCATTGCCCTTTGCCTGCAGTGAAGAACCTGAACAGCAGCATCTATTGCATTACCGGTGGCTCTAAACGGAGCTCATAAGATTACATCAAATCTTCCACGGCCAGAGGGCTGGACTGTGAGGGATGGTAACTGGCTTATCCAGGTAGCCTCAGGGGTAAACCTCTACATTAACCTGTTGTTGTCGTGATAGTTTATGCTGGATCTTCAGACACCTTAAAGCGATAAATCATAATGAGCAATCAACCTTTGAGTGCAGACAGTGAGATGGACCCTAAAATGTGTGTGTAAGCCCTTTGGCTTTCATTGAACGGCATCAGTAAATGTTTGATTCTCTACAGAGGAAACTATTATGTCCTCTTTTTCTTTTTTTGTTCCTGCTTTCTGCAAATGTTTTCTAAGCAATTTTATTGCTACATATGCTTTGTGTAGTCACAGTCCTTTTAAATAGGCTTGTAGCCTACTTGTTGACCTTTTATATGTATTAAAAGTAGGCATACCTTTGAACTGCTCACTCCTGAGACTAAATAAGGCTAAAACTGTCTTGGACATCATAATGATATACCTACACAGCCTACAAATTGAATAGAATACGTGATTGTATTTAGAGTCGCATCTATTGAGACTTTGTTGTTGCAGTTGCTGGGATTCATTTGGGTTCTGTTTTTTACTTCCTCATGTTTTCTCAGGATTACAGTTTGTTGTTAGAAGTCTGTAGCTCTAATCCCATATTTAGGATTGGTTAGGTGATGCCAGCACCAACCACATTATGCCAATATGCTCAAACACCACTTGAGCAAACAGCAAATCAACATAAATGCCAACAACAACTAAAGAAAATGCTTTGTGAACCCTGACTTTCCATGATTAAAAACCCAGGTTAAATCTAAGTAATTTTAGTAGATTAAACTCATAATCATGTTTTATTATTTTTTTTATATTAGATATTATATAAATATATAAGAAATGTGAAATTATTTTTAATTTTTAAATAATGCCGTTCATGGTGCTTAATGAAAGTAAATCAGGGAAATACAGAATACATCACTTCTAATCTCTATTTACTATCGAAATAATGCTCAGTATTTTAGTAGAGAATAAAAAGTTGACTTTAACTTTGATTTTAAAAAAATCTATAAAATGTGTTTTCTAGTATTTCTGTCCAGGGGATGTGGCATGTGAAAGAATAACCTTTTTATTCACGTCATTAATAGTTAAAAGTAGATATTCAACAACAACAATATGCAACCTTAAAGATGAGCACAAACGCAAGAACCACAAGTTTGCTTTCATTGTATGGATGTTTCAGTAATATAATATCTAGTTCATTACCCTTAAGAACACTCACCCACATATATTAATGACACCTGTAGATCTTGTGTCATCCCACAGGGATTACCTGGTGCCTCCTTAACCTCAATAACTTGCCACAGTCACTAATGTTTCAACAGGAGAGCTTCCTGGTGCGTCACCAGCGACACTTCCACACAAACACTTTCCTCTCCTGGCCCCGAATGCCTTGTGATCCATAATCCCACCTTTTCTTATTGCTCAGCAGTGTTGCTAGGGAGCAAGACTAATCTCAAGCCTCAACTCCTGCCAAGCCGGGTATGTTTGTAAATTTGTGCTGCTTAGTCCAGCCAAGCGGTGAGATTATCCACCTGTAAGGAGAAAGTAGCACAGGTGAAGGTTAAGACACTGAAAAGGAGAAGTCCAGCAGCACATCCCACTGTGGGTTTACACGATCTCATGACCCCTGTGTTGATTCCCAGCAGGCAGAACAATGACGGGGCCTTTTCCTGTCAGCTCAGTATGTAGCTGCTTAGCCACAAGCCACATGGATTGAGCGAGGGGAAAAAAAGGGGGGTATTATTATGAGGGTGGTGATGTCAGTATTGTTCAAACTAATCTATTTATGCCCCCCACCCTTTTTTTTTTTATTTAAATATGCTGAATCAACAATTTCACACTTGATTAAGATGGTAGCTTGAAGGGATGTGGCTGTCTGCCACACTTAGAACAGCCGTATCTATAATTTCTTGGTGCTTATGTTGGTAAATGTGGCTCGCTGCACTGGAATAACTTCATCAGATGCCCTGCAGTTTTGCAGTTCAGAAATGACTGCCTGCATTTATTATGGTGATTGTATTTCACGTCAGTCTAGTCATTACCAGGCTTAGTATCATTAGAGACAAATTTGGAAACTGTTTCTTTGTGCACCATAATCATGTTTTTCTGGGAAAATGTTATCCAATCGTACACTATACAAAAGATGGACACACTGGCTTCCGTTTTCCAAGCATGAAAATGGAAGCAGGAAGTGTCTGACCCCTGCATGCTTACTTGTGCCAGCAATGCCATAATGCAAACCTGCTTTTCATGTGTTCTTAGTAAAGCTTCTTTATATAGAGCTCACACAGCACTGTACAATAATTAAAGCAATTAAACAATGTTCTGATTTTATGACCTGTCTTGATGATTTTATGATCTCAGTCTAGTTTTAGCTCTGGTTGAATAGAATAGAATCATTTTGTTGTATTCTGGCCTCCATTGGAGTCAAAAAAGGAGAATAAAACTTGGCGCGTCTCCGTTGCGATGTAAAAATTTGCGGTTTCAAAATGCCAACGGTGCAGAAGCTCAGTTCAAGGTTTGCTTTGTGACTTAACTAGTGGGTTAGCGTCACTAACTGAATAGTATATAGTTATTAGATTCAGCCATAATTTCATCTTGGAGGTGAAGTACTGATCCAGTCAAAAATAATAATAATTTTATACACTAACAGCTGAGATTTAGGACAGAGAAGTTTTGACTTGAGATTTTCAGAATAGTTTCCAGTAGAGAAACATGCCAGTTCTCTGTGACTGAGCACTTCCTGCTGTGTGACGGTTTGGTATGTTGCAGTCACAATGCTGCTCGCTGCACAGCCGTCACAAGGAGTGCATTGAAAGTCGAGAAGAGGAAGCAAGAAAAACAACCTGTGCCTTGAAGAATGATATGACACATCACTGTGATATCTGGTCTGATTTTCTTCTCCGTCTCTCTCTCCCTGTCTTTTTGACCAGGAAACACTCACACAGCTGACAGGTCAAACCAGCAAGCTATTGGGATAAGAGGAATTTGTGCTTTTATGGGAGCATAGAGGCCCAATTTGGGGAAAACAAAAAAAAAACAAACTGTGCTGCATTCTCAGTTCCTGCTTGGCTAATGCCCAACTGTATATGGAGGCAAACGAGAGCAGAGCAGAGGGTTAGGCGGATCAACAAACCAGTTTTGTTTTTTTCAACACTGTTCATTTGCTGAGTGTGATTTGCTGCGATGGGTGAGGTTGTGTCAGCTGTATTCTGTTGCCGAAGGTAACAACCTGTACTGAGCAGGTGAAACTGGCCTCGTAAGCTGTCGCCACTTAAGGGTTGTTTGTCTGGTGGGTTCTTGTGCGTTTGCTTTATCCGCATTTGTTAGCTTCATTGTGTCATTACCTCCCGGGTTAACCTGATTTGCAACAGTACAAAAGAAAAAGAAGCTGAGATGTTAGTCACTGCCTGCATCTTTGTAGCATGTGTAACTAAGAGTTTAAAGGAGAAGAAGTTGGTGCTCTAATCTTCCTCTTTCACTTTAATGCAATACTGCACATTTTAAAACAGTGATACGTGTAGCCCGGGTTGATGCATGGTTAAATTCAGCGCAGTACAGGAAGTTCTTTCAACATGCAAACACGCAGGATGAGACATTTGAGGGTGTAGCTGCTCGCTAGCTTGGAGGAATGTTCTGTTCATGGCAAGACAGGGCAACACCTCCAGATTGATAAATAATTGTCGCTGACCAGAAGGTGTTTTCTGCTGTGTTGCCTCATTATTTGACAGTAAGTAGTGTCACTTCTTCTAATTTTGTTAGAAGTTTAGAGTTGCCTTGAGATTCGCCTCAAAGGGCAAAGTGCATGAAAGCTGGTCTTTGTGTTTCCGTTGCAGGTCTCTGCCCTCTTGCTTTCTATGTGTGATAAATCAACTGCTTAAAGTTGATAAAGCACTGTATGACTGCGACTGTGGTTTGCACTGTATGTGAGGCTTCAGTGGTCGATAAGACGAGAAAAGTGCTATCAGTTTGTTGAGGACTGCAGGTTCTGTTCTCATCTTGCTGTGCTTGCAGAACAGACCTCACGCAAGTGTTACACAGTACCATCATCCAGCTGCATGTGTTGAACGGCACTGTGTAGGCTTTGCCCAGCATTTGTGCACCAGATGTTATAAATTGCATAACTAGAGCAGGTTTGTTGTCCAAGGTCTCATTGTGTTACTGTGCAGTTGCCTGCTCAGAATCACTGGCAATTAGCAGTAAGAGTGGTTGTGAGAACACAGCTGGGTGTAAACGGCTACGCGCGCACTGCTGTTTTTTTACTTGCTGTTGAGCCGGAGAGACTAGAACAGCATGGAGCTCAGATAACCATCAGCTTCTTAGACCACCAACCTCTGCTGTATGTCATCGCTGCGACATCAGGGAAACTGGCTGGTCCACCAAGTAGACTACGAGAGTTAGAGTGTCACGTGTCTTGGCTCGTGTCTGCCAGGGTGTGTGCATATGTGCAAGTCTGTGTTGAGGTGTTGAATAAACAAAGGGGCTCTTGTCAAAATGTGAAAGTTGCCCACAAGGCACAAAACTGACTCATCTTTGGTTTATTTCAATATAGCTGACCTGTTGCCAGCTGCCTGTTAATGAAGAAAATAGTGCACACGAGCTCTGTGGATTGTTCCTCTTGTCACTCTGTTTGAACAGGGAAGTTGCTCTGAAATGAAAGTTTTTGCAGAGCAGATGCCATTACTTTGTCTTTCAGCGTGTGAACTATTAAAGCAGTAGAACAGGCTGTTTCTTCCTACATGACCTGCAGCTATAGAGTGCTGCGCCCAGGTCAAAGTTTGTTATCCCTGAGGATAATGAATCCCAGCAGCTGGAAGTCTTAAACAGCCCGTCGCTACTTCGCTTCATAGCAAGAGTGAAAAGGAGAAGCAGTCCGTGGTGCGAACCTCTGTCGGTAAAGTGTATTACTCTACTTTCCTGTCATCTAACCTTCCTCTCTCTTCTGTCAATGTTTCCTGCTGCAGTTAGCACACCATGGCAGAGCACGAGCCCACACCAGAGGAGCTGGCAGCGATCGCAGCAGCCAATGATGAGAGCGACTCTTCTGTCAACTACAAAGCCCCCGCCCAGAAGAGCTTGAAGGAGATCCAGGAGCTGGACCAAGATGACGAGAGCCTGCGCAAGTATAAGGAGGCGCTGCTGGGAAACGCGGCTGCTGTAGTCGTTGGTGTGTTGATGTTAATTAACATACGTCAATAAGCTTAAATACGCGTTGATTTCAAGAAGAGTTAAGAGTGTTTTTTCTTGTGGATTTAGCTTGTGCCTTTTTAAATTTATGATTAAAACCTGTGTAGTGACGACATGACAAAAGTATGCTAAAGTCATTCTTTAATAAAACTGCCAAAGTTGTTGCTCAACATGTTTGTCCTACCAATAGCACGGCGTATCACAAGGCCAGGAATTTGTTGTGGAAATAGTTAGAATATTGAAAACTGAGCTGATGAGTCAGAAACTAGTCATTAACGGCTCAGACAGACTCTTTCCTGTATATTTGCCATTGAGTTGTATTCTCAGCAAAGAAATCTGTTTAAAAATATACAGATTTACTGTCATACAGCATGCTGGTACTGCTGATCTGAAATCTTTGTTAGTTAAAAGGCTTTAAACGACTAATTTTAGCACAGTATTCATGAAAGTAGAGCAACTCCACATGTGCAAAGTAAAGCAAATCCTTTCCGGATTACAATTTCAGTTCAAGAGCTTGAAAAGCAGAGATTGTTATGGCGTTTCTAACTCGCCAGATACGAGACGTCACTGAAATTAAATGCAATGTAGAGTGAGTGTTCGAGTAGTTATATACACACAAATGGATGTGTGTGTGTGTGTGTACGTAACACCTCCCCTGAGCATTTTTGTGTTGTTTTATTCAAACTGATGAGATTTTCTATCTCCTGCTATACTGTGACAATGTTTTTAATTGCGTGACTTTTTCCTCTTGTCTTAGATCCCACTGTCCCCAACGTCCAGGTGACGAAGATGGTTCTGGTGTGCGAAACGGCTCCAAACAATCTGGTCCTCGATCTGACTGGTAAGTAGAGCAGGTGTGTCCGTGCCGATTTTAGTTTAGAAACTAGAAATCTAAAATAAGTGAGCAGAAGTGAGGCTGGCATACAAGTCTCATTGTTGTGTTAATGGAGAGGTGGGGGGGTCATAGGCCTGCTGGGTCATTAGTTCACTAATCGGTGTCGACTTGATTCCTATGTGCCCACGTTAACGAGCCATTTCCTGATACTTCAGCAGAGCAGAGGCTCACTTGTGACATTGTTCCCTCTGGTGGTCATTATTCTTACTACAGGGTGTTGAAACCCAAATTCTACAGGAACTGTTTGTTTATCAGCCTGCTGTGTATTATTATTATTATTTTTTTGTTAAAGTGGAAAGAAACTGACACTTGATCTGACTCTTCTGTCCCTGCTGTGTTGCTTTTATCTGCCAGGGGACCTGGAAAGCTTCAGGAAGAACCCGTTTCCGATGAAGGAGGGAGTTGAGTACAGAATAAAGATCTGCTTCAAGGTGAGAGTCTGGCGTTTGTCACACTCGCCACTGCGCTCTGTTTATGTCGCAGTGTTGTTGTTACATCACTGCTGGAGATGTAACTGCAGTCTGCAGAGCACTATCATTATCGTCAGAGGCTTTTCAGAAGAATTTAACTCTTGTTGCCTTCTGCAGGTCAACAAAGAGATCGTGTCAGGCCTGAAGTACATGCAACAAACTTTCAGGAAAGGAGTTAAAGGTGAGCCTGCTCAAATCATCTCACCATATAGCTGTACTGATTTTCCTAAACCTTGCCTCTCATACATGGTCACCATACAGTAATTATTAAAAAACAATGAAACTAAAACTAAAACCATTTTCATATGATAAAAATCCATGCTGGAGCTAAACTGACTTAAAAACAAAAGGCAAAACAAAATAAAAACTAGAATGAGTCTGCCTCTTGATCCTAAAGTTCTCCTTTTTCTTTCCCTCTGTGATGTGCAGTTGACAAGTCTGATTACATGGTGGGCAGCTACGGCCCCAGACCAAGCGAGGAGTACGAGTTCCTCACCACAATGGAGGAAGCCCCAAAAGGGATGCTGGCCCGCGGCACCTACCATATCAAGTCCAAGTTCACCGATGACGACAAAAACGACCACCTGTCTTGGGAATGGAGCCTCGCTATCAAGAAAGATTGGAAGGACTGATTTTTTATTTTTTTTTTTTTCCCCCTTCCCACACTCGCTCGCTGGTCCACCAATGTCTTCCTCTGCTTTGTTTCCGCTTTTCTTTTTTTCTTGCCATCATTCCCACCTCCCCCTGGATATTGGATTGTTTCAGTCTTTTGCTCTCTCCGTCCATCAGCTTGCTCACTCCTCTCCTGCTGTTCCATCTATTTTCTATTTCTTCTAAATTCCAATCACTTCATCATTCCTCCCATAGCAACGCTGATTGATTTGTTTGCACCAGCCTTTATTACAAGAATGACATCTTTTAAAAAAAACAGAGAAAGTAAAGGGTGTACACTATCCAGATTTTTGGTTACAGTTTGTTTATAAAAAAGGAAAGAAAAAAAAAAGCATCTGTTAACAAGCAAATTTGATTTCTCTCCATCACCTTTTTCCTTCCTTTCTTTTCTCTCTTTTTCACATTGTTTTGTACGATTACCACGATCTGCCTTGGAAAGAATTGTACAGGAAGCTAAAGTGCTGCGTGCACACGGTCACTGTACGGTCACTGAGCAGTAATTGCTGGACACAAATCTTGGACACAGCCCGCCTAAAGCCTTTGAGCAGATTATTTGTAGTTGGGTCTTGTTAAATTATTTGGAATTTGGGCCACTTCTTTTTTCCAAATAGTCGAACAGCCAGCAAATTCTGCTGAGAGAAGAGGGAAAGCAGTTACCTCTAACCCCCTTGCATTCCCTCGCTTTAGCTGTGGCTGTTTTTTCTTTGATTTTTCCTGATCAGGGTATTTTGGCAGGTTTGTTTTGTTTTGTTTTTTAGCAGCCGTGTGGCCTTAACAAGTAAATAAAAAAATAGACAGCCTAGTTGAGCCAGTTGCCTTCTTACTATTAAATATTATATTTGCCAGACCATCATGTGAGCCTGTTTTAACAGATTTTGTATTACATTGACAGGGAATCAGGACTGAGGACATGCTAATCTCCTTGTTTCAGGGTGTCAATCATATCAGCTTTATTCGCCAACACCTTCATTTCAGTACTTTGTAGGTTTCTTCAAATCTAATAAATGAACTCTAAATCTAAGAGTCCGGGTTGTACTAATGGCTTTATATCACCCAGTCTCCTCTTATGTTCCCGAGGACATCAATTCTAGCGCGTTACCTCAGTTCCCTATTGAGCCGAACACCGCAGAAAACTGTTAAACCGCTCACCTCGTATTGCTCAAGTTAAAGATTACCACTGCTGACTGTGCCTCCAGACTCTCCCGACCGGCCACGCGCCGCCTCTGCTGACTCGGCAGAGCTCAGAATCATCTATAATTGACTTATGAACCAGAATAGAGACGCGGGTCCTTTAACCAGACACTGATGGTTAACACATCCTGCCATATGAAAGTGTTTTTTTTTTTT